AGTGCTAAAAATGATGTTAGGCTGCCCTTTTTGGAAATTTTGGAAAAGGTCATTCTTATGCTGTGTCATTAACATTTGTAGGGCTAATCTATACACGTTTAAGAGGAGAGATGATAAATGAGAGAATGGAAAGAGATGTTAGAAAGGAAACAGTCAAGCAACATCATTAGTCACCTATGAATAAGGCACCACGAGATTCTCACACCAGCTGTAACACTGTGAATCCATGCAAATAATTGTATCTGATGTCTTAAAATATGAATAAAGGGGCATCAATTTCTTCTTCTTACTTCCTTATTATGAGAGATTGCTAGTGAGGATAGGTGGTTTTACAATTTTGAGTTTGTTGCTAATAAAATCAACATGATTGGTGAGTTAAGACATAGGTATTCGACGTCACTCAGACAGAGAATGACTTCTAAGTCAGAGCCAGGCTTCAGTGTGCCAGATCAGTTGCACTAATAAAACCTAACAAAGGATAGACCAACCACAGGAAGGAGGTCAGCTCAAACAACAGGGATTTAAGTGCTGTGAGTGGCTGTTTCTTCCTAAGGAGTGAGACACTCAGGCTAGGTGTCTACACAGAGTAGCCTGGATGAAAACACTAATATTATCCACTCTGTCTTGCTCTACTTTCAGACTCACTTAACAGTCTTCTGATAATTAATTGGATTTTCCTGCTACATCAATGCCTGAAACAAAGGTGCCCTGGATAGAAAGTATTGCTTGCTTGCTTAATTGATTAATTCATTCCTTCAACAAATATTTATAGAGTGTCTACTCCCTGCCAGGCATTGTTTTATGCCCTGAGGACATACCAGGGAATGAAAACAGACCCAATTTCTGTCTATTGAGGGCACATATCCTGGTTGGAAGAAACTATTAAAACAAAGTCCATTCTGTATCAAGTGGTGGTGAAGTGTTATGATGAAAAAAATAAAGCAGGAAGGAGTGAGGGAGTTAGATCCTTTTAGACATTTAGATACAGAGCCAGGAAGGCCTCACTGACAAGTTGAATGAAGGAGGAAGGAAGCAAGCAAATGCCTGAGGGAAGAGCCAGTGCAAGGGCATGGGTGCAGAAGTGTGCTTGGTGTGCCTGAGGAAGGACAGGGTAGCTGGGGTGGAGTGAGCCAGGGGGACAGAGTAGGAAAGGAGGGGCTCTAGACTGTGACTTGGGCCTTCTTAGGGCTGAAGAGTATCTCCCCCCACTCCCAACACACACCTCCCTGTCCACAATGGGGACATGGTGATTTAGGAATTTGGTGTCTGGTTTGTACTTCTGCCTCCTTTGAGCTTGGCTAGTTTGGGTCCATCTCTTATCAGACTGAACCACTCCTGGAATCTCTGAATTTTTATCTCTCTGCCCCTAAAAAGTTGAGGATCTGCTTCAGAAGTTGGGGACTCCTTCATGGTGGTGGTCTCTGGGTGACCAACAAGAACCTCTAACATTGTTATCACCTCCATATACTGCCAATAAATGTTTGAGATGTGGGCTCTGCACTATAGTAAGGAGTCATAATTATTCATTGTTTTAATGGCGACTTTATGAACATATTGAGACATGAAGATTTACAGATACAGTAAGAGATATCATGGACATAGACCTGTTAATCAAGTTTATCTAGGTGTATTGATGGACTTTAGAGTGAGACTAATCTGGGCTTGAATCATGAAATTGACACTTACTAGCTTTGGAAACAAAGTTAAGTTATAAAGAGGGTGGATGTAAGAATTAAATAAAACAAAAGGAGTAGCTAAATGAAGAGAATTAAATGAAATAACATGCCTGATGGCAAAGCATTGCCGCTCAGTAACATTAGTTCCCTTTCTCATCTCTCCCTTTCTCAATTTCTTCTTCATATTGCATAATTCAGAATTTCTGCCCACGTTGAATCATAATGAACCTTAATTAATCATCAGTTGGGTACCATAGGCTTCCTTCCAACAGGGGAGTCCCTGTTGCAGCAAAGGCCAACCCAATCAGTAGTACACTTGTGTTGTTATACCTCCAGACCCTCCCAGACTTCTATGGAGCTAGGGAGGTGAAATGAAGTAATAAATGTAAAGCACTCAACACAGTGCTTGGCATTGTTCATCCTCATTTAATGTTAAGTTTTATAATTTTTATTCTGTAGTTTTTGGAAAACTTAGGGGAAGGTATATAGGTATTATGCTATGAAAAAGAAAAACAAAATTATGCAAGTGACTGGTTTGTTTTATTAGTAACAATGGTAAGAGGGGCTTTCTACCTTTGAGACTGAATATTAGGCATGAATTGAACATAAACTGGGTGATGTGATTGTTAGTTTTATGGGTCAACTGGCTAGACTACCCCATTATTCTTTTAAGCCCTGACTTAGGTGTCATTGCTAAAGGTATCTTGTAGATGGGGCTAATATCTGCAATTGATGCTAAATATAGGAGTTTATCCTCAATACCATGTGTGGGCCTCATCCAATCAGTTGCATGGACTTAACAGCAAAACTGAGGCTTTTCTGAGGAAGAAAGAATTCTGCTTGAAGACTGCAGCACTAGCTCTTGTCTGAGTTTCCAAAGAGCCTGCTCTGCAAATTTTGGACTTGCCAGCCCCCACAATTGTATAAACCAATTTCTTGAAACAAATCTATATGTATATCTATGTGATATGTAAAGCATTTCTGCTGATTCTGTTCCTATTTATTTGGAGAATCCTGACTGATATAGGTGTGTACGAAGTTATATATACTTCTTCTGTCAATAATCATTTGCGATACCTCATCTGCAGATGCAATTTTACTGAAATGAAAGTTGAACAGCTCCAAACTACACAGCCAATTTTTTTCAGCCTCATGACAACTTCTTTTTGGCCTAGGCCAGCAACCTGATCTCAGAGTGAGGAGATAATCTCTACACTGCTTATAGCTGGCATAGTCTAACTTATGAAGTTCACAAGACACATTACCTGGGTTCTGGGTGGAAAACAGAATGAACATAAATGCCAAATGGATAATTTGCTCTAAAAAAACCAGATATATTAAGAAGTCATATAGCTCAAACTGGTTGGCCTGCTGCTCTCTAGGTATAAATTCAGAGCACAGCTAAGATACAAAAATTTCATTGTCTAAGTGAATATGTATTTGTGTAGTGATGGCAGCATAGCAATTTCTAGAATGAATGTGCGGGAAGATAAATTTCCATGAGAAGAGACATGACTGAGAGTGTAAATCTGCCTTTATTTTTGCTAGTCTGTCTATAATCATATGGAAATAAACCCCTGATGAAAAGTGAGACAAAAATTATGACATCATCTGAATTTAGTGTCACTGCTCTAAGCTAAAAATTTTGATGGGCTTCAACTTTTATTTTCTTGTTTTCAAGTTATTTTTTTTACACTTTTCTTCATTGTAAATCTTTCCTCACAGCATTGTCAGAATGAACGAAAACATCTTTTATCTCATTTCTGATTTACCACCTTCTTTCTGTACATCTCATTGTGTTTTTACTCTTTAGTTAAATTTTTATAATTTTGAACAAACTGGGTTATCAGATAGTTACAAGCAATGGCAGGGACAAATTCTGCTTCCAAAAGAGAAATCAACTAGGAGTAAAAACCCGCAATAACTTTCTAAGAACTAGGTTCCCTTAGAGAGACCAGAAAGTCTTCAGATAGTTAATGAGATACCACAATCTTTAAAAAATAATTAGTGGCCAAGATGGACTTCTCTCAAGATGCTGGAAACCTACATTTGTCCATAAAACTGAAGACTGAGCAAGAAAGGATATCTGGCCACAGGTAACAGAGCTATGAAAAAAGAAAACTCTAACTTCAAAAACCCTCTATCTTCCACATCACCATTTCATAATTCTTATGCTCTACTTTTGCAAAAATACATTTTAATTCTCACATTGTTTTGCTTATCTCTGCGATCTTCAATTGGCTTCTCTTCACTTCTTTCTTACTTCATTTTTGTTTGCTATTTTCCAGTCATTCTTCTAATTTGCTTTTCTTTCCTGCCTGCTGTAAATTTCCTGTATTTCTCTGGTCTCCTCTCCCCTATCCATTTTTACCTCTTTTTCTTCACCAATTCTTTGAATATCTTTTCCCTATTCCTAATTCTTCCTCCTCTCCCACTGATCTGTTGTGGCTTTAATCATCGCTTAGTCACTTAAAATCACCCAGTGACTGATATTTTCTCACTGAAAGGAGAGGGATTTGTGACTGGAAAGCCAGCTACAAAGACCCAACACATTCAATTTACAGTACAGTTCTTTCCTTTCTTCCTTGGAGCTTTTGCCTGGGATTAGAGACAGACCGCTTACTGCAGCTCACAATGGCAAAGCACTTCGGGCCTGACTTAGCCCCACGAATCACATGGCAAGGTATATCTGAGCTACTACGTTTACACGGATTGCTAGAATTTTAAAATTGCTCTTCAGTGGAAAAAGCTTATTCAAGTCTGCCTGGAAAACAAAGCAGTCCTATTTTATGATGAACTCTGATGAAGCAGACTCATCTCCTTGGCCCATTTATTTTTGTCCGCTGCCTCCACCCTTTCATTTTTTACAGCATGAAACAAAAGCACGCAAAGGGGTTCCTGGGATGAGGGTGCAGGAGCTTTGGCTGGGTTACCCTGCCCAGAGGCTGCTGAGACTGTTCATACAATGCCCTCAATCAAGCAGGTCTATTTGACCAATTTGACCACAAGTAAGGGCTTTACAAAGGGAAAAACAGCAAAATGGGTTCTTTAGGACTATATGATTTTATCATCTAGCCTTATTGTCAGGAAAACACTAGATACATTTGACTCTGAGAAGTTTCACTTTAGCTCTCTGTAACACTTAAGTATGGACTACCTTGCTTTTTATTTTATGAAATTATTCCTTTTTATAAGTTTGGCTGTGAATTCACCTTACCTTTCGGTGTTTCTTGAAGAGCAGGAGTGCACACTTCAATGATTAAGAGCTTAAAGTAATTCTCTGCCTGCAGCAGGATCTGTGAGATCGTTATTATCAAAGGATACTTGTGGTCAAAGCCATACCACATTCTGAAGAGCCGGGCACTGTCTGCTTTCGATGTGTTTTTATCCAAGTTATTTGCTTCCTGGGGAGAGATAATAGAAAAAGGCATTGGGTAAATAGTTAAACACATTTTAATATAAAAATACATGTCAAACCAAATTAAGTTAAACTATATTAAAAAAACCGTTTCTATATATAGGCATTTTCATCTAAATGGTGAAGCAGTTGCCAGGCAAATTGGCTCATAAATCTTGCTATATGGATGAGACCCTTCTGGAGTATTTCAACATTGACTTTTCTTAATAATCCTGATTTTATTAAATAGCTAAGAAATGCTATTTTGACATCAATAAAAATGATATTTCTGTTGTATTGCTGTTGTGGGAATTTTACAGTTTACTTTTGTCAAATTCGGATGGTATTTATTTATGGATTACCAAAAGGTCAAGGCTAAAGAGAGGACAATAGTCGAATAAGAGTTATGCGGTATTTTATTCATTTTGTTTGATAGATCACTACCAAAAGCTATGGGTTGATTTTTGATATCTTTCTGCTTAGATGATGAAGAGTTTTGAAATAGATATTCCTGATGCGACGAGGGCAACAACTGAATGTGCTTGTCTATATCTTTTATGCCCCCCCCAAGGGCCATAAAGAATGAGAGGATGATAAGGAATTAAAGACAAAAGAGGAAGAGAAAATGTTTGATGGGTGTTTTTGGGAGAGAAGAGAATGAAATGTGGAAAAAAGGAAAGAAACCAAAACTTTTTTGTGAGCTTTACAGACAGATAATAAAATGTAAGGAGGGTATTCAGTGGCATTCTTACTGTATTCCATTTTGTGTTAAGAGAATTTCAACTGGTTGTAATTATCCTAATCATTAAAAGCATTTATATCTTACTTGGGCTTTGTTGCTATGCCTGGAGCCCCAGTTTTCATGCCCAAATTGGGTCATGAGTTGCAGCCCAGTCATAACGTGAAGAGTCTTCTGAGGGAATGATGACCCACGGAAGACAGTGGAAGTCAACTGTATGCTCCACAGCCAGTGCTTAGATGACCCCAAATTGATTTGTGTTCATTTTATTTTTACCCTTTTCTATCCAGTTCCATCATTGGTTAATGATAAATAGCTGGAAACAAAGGGCTGTGTTCTACCCCTGAAACATATGTGTACCAGTAGATGCTGCTGCTCCATTCCCCAAAAATAAAATGGAAATACAAGAAAGCAAAGTGTGCTTCACTTTTAGTTAGCGATTTATCCTTTGTTTAAAATGGATGAAGCGAAAAACTAGATCCAAGATGGCCGTTTAGGAACAGCTCAGGATTGCAGCTCCCAGTGAAAGCGCAGAGGGTGAGTGGACGCCGCGTTTTTATTGCCCACAGACTAGGAAATTCCCGGGCAGAGGTGCTCCACGCTCGCCAGCGCGGCTGTTGTGGCCAGCGCTGCTGTGCCGGCCGGCGCCGACCAGCGCCGCTGCTCTGCCCCGCGCGGCTGCTTTCTCGGCGCCCCGGAGCCGCGGTTCTCCGTACAAAATACACCGGTCCGGGTGCCCTTTTGGCTGGCGATTGGAGCCACGGGAAGTCGCCCATATGCTGGTTCAAAAAGGGGACTGAGCAGAGAACCAGGACAGTAGATTCCAGGGCAAAAAAAAAAAAAAGAAAAAAAAGCGCCACAAACCTCAGTGCCGCTGTTTAAGCCAGCGCAGTGAGTGGCCGCAGGGGAAAACAAACAGACCCCGGCGCCTCTTCAACAGGTGACTGGAACACCAACTTAAAAAAGGCTCTGAGGCAGGGAGCCAGGCGATCAGGCTCGGCTGGCCCCACCCCCACAAAAGAACAGCAACCAGAAACTCTGGAGTGAGAATTTCACAGCAAGCGCAGCTGAACCCGGGACAGTCCAGCTCTGTGGGGGAGGGGTGTCTGCCATTACCGAGGCAGCCCCCCGTTGCCAAGGCAACACGCCATTGCTGAGGCAGCCCGCCGTTGCCAAGGCAACACGCCACAGCAGAGACTCCGCCCCAACAGTGGCGGGCCACCATCGCCAAAGCAGTTCTAACTACACCCATATAAACAGGACTGCAGGGAAGTTCACTCGGCAGCGGGGCGCAGCCCACAGCAGCTCAGCAAAGCTGCTATAGGCCCACAGTGACTAGCCTGCCTCCTTGCTGGGCTGGGCAGGTCTGAAGGAAAAAAAGAAAAAAAAAAAAAGAAGGCAGCAGCATAACGGAAACTCATAAATAAAGCCCTAAATCCCTGGGACAGAGCACCTGGGAACAAAAAGCAGTTTATGAGTTCTGCTGCAGCAGACCTAAAAGTACCTGCCCAGCAGCTCTGAATGAACAACAACAGAGCTCACAGCTCACCATTTGAGCTCCTATAAAGAAAAGACCATCTCCTCAAGCAGCTCCCTGACCCCTATATATCCAAAAAGACACCTCATAGAGGAGAGATCAGATTGACACTAGGCGGGTATCCTTCTGGGACAAAGATAGAAGAAGAAGAAAACTGGTAACAACCCTTGCTGTTCAATAGCTGCTGCAGGTGAACCCCAGGCAAGCAGGGCCTGGAGTGAACCTCAGCAGACCTACAGCAGAGGGGCCAGACTGTCAGAAGGAAAACCAAGAAGCAGAAATAACCTCATCAACAAACAGAACGTCAATCTGAAAGATTTGAGACCCAATCTGAAAGCCAGCAACTACAAAGTCGACAGGTGGATAAATCCTTAAGGATGGGAAGAAACCGGCGCAAAAAGGATGAAAACACCCGAAACCAGAACACCTCTCCTCCTAAAAGGGATCACAACTCCTCGCCAGCAAGGGAACAAGGTTGGATGGAGAATGAGTGTGATGAAATGACAGAATCAGAATTCAGAAGATGGGTAGTAAGAAACTTCTGTGAACTTAAAGAACATGTTCTAACCAAATGCAAAGAAACTAAGAACCTTGAAAAAAGATTTGACGAAATGCTAACAAGAATGGACAAAATAGAAAGGAATATAAGTGAATTGATGGAGCTGAAAACTGCAACACGAGAACTTCGTGAAGCATGCACAAGTATCAACAGCCGAATTGACCAAGCAGAAGAAAGGATATCAGAGGTCGAAGATCAACTCAATGAAATAAAACGGGAAGGCAAGACTGGAGAAAAAAGGGTAAAAAAGAATGAACAAAGTCTCCAAGAAATGTGGGACTATGTGAAAAGACCTAATCTACGTTTGATAGGCGTACCCGAATGCGACGAAGAGAATGAATCCAAGCTGGAAAATACTCTGCAGGATATTATCCAGGAAAACTTCCCCAACCTAGCAAGGCAGGCAAACATTCAAGTCCAGGAAATACAGAGAACACCACAAAGATATTCGTCAAGAAGAGCAACCCCAAGGCACATAATCGTCAGATTCACCAGGGTCGAAATGAAGGAGAAAATACTAAGGGCAGCCAGAGAGAAAGGTCGGATTACCCACAAAGGGAAGCCCATCAGACTCACAGCAGATCTCTCAGCAGAAACCCTACAAGCCAGAAGAGAATGGCCAATATTCAACATCCTTAAAGAAAAGAACTTTCAGCCCAGAATCTCCTATCCAGCCAAACTAAGCTTCATAAGTGAAGGAAAAATAAAATCCTTTGGGAACATGCAAGTACTCAGAGATTTGGTCACCACCAGGCCAGCTCTACAAGAGCTCCTGAAAGAGGCTCTACACATATAAAGGAACAACAAGTACCAGCTCAACTAAAGGGCAAAACAGCCACCTAGCACCAAAATGGCAGTATCAAATTCACACATAACAATATTAACCCTAAATGTAAATGGACTAAATGCCCCAATCAAAAGACACAGACTGACAAATTGGATAAAAAGACAAAACCCATCGGTGTGCTGTATCCAGGAAACCCATCTTACATGCAAGGATATGCAAAGGCTCAAAATAAAGGGATGGAGGAAGATTTACCAAGCAAATGGAGAGCAAAAAAAAGCAGGAGTTGCAATTCTCATCTCTGATAAATTAGACTTTAAAGCAACAAAGATCATAAGAGACAAAGAAGGACATTACATAATGGTAAAAGGATCAATGCAACAAGAAGAGCTAACGATCCTAAATATATACGCACCCAATACAGGAGCACCCAGATACATAAGGCAAGTTCTTAATGACTTACAAAGGGACTTAGACTCCCACACAATAATAGTGGGAGACTTTAACACCCCATTGTCAACATTAGACAGATCAACCAGACAGAAAATTAACAAGGATATCCAGGACTTGAACTCAGACCTGGACCAAGCAAACCTAATAGACATTTACAGAACTCTCCACCCAAAATCCACAGAATATACATTCTTCTCAGCACCACATCACACCTACTCAAAAATTGACCACATAATTGGGAGTAAATCACTCCTCAGCAAATGCAAAAGAACGGAAATCGTAACAAACAGTCTCTCAGACCACAGTGCAATCAAGTTAGAAATCAGAATTCAAAAACTAACTCAGAACCGCACAGCTTCATGGAAACTGAACAACTTGCTCTTGAATGTTGACTGGATAAACAATGAAATGAAGGCAGAAATAAAGATGTTCTTCGAAACCAACGAGAATGAAGACACAACATACCAAAATCTCTGGGACACATTTAAAGCAGTATCTAGAGGAAAATATATAGCAATAAGTGCCCACATGAGAAGCAAGGAGAGATAAAAAATTGACGCCCTATCGTCAAAACTGAAAGAGCTAGAGGAGCAAGATCAAAAAAACTCAAAGTCTAGCAGAAGACAAGAAATAGCTAAGATCAGAGCAGAACTGAAGGAGATAGAGACACAAAAAACCCTTCAAAAAATCAATAAATCCAGGAGCTGGTTTTTTGAAAAGATCAACAAAATAGACCACTAGCCAGATTAATAAAAAAGAGAGTATAACCAAATTGATGCAATAAAAAACGATAAAGGGGATATCACCACAGATTCCACAGAAATTCAAACCATCATCAGAGATTATTACAAACAACTCTATGCACACAAACTAATAAACCTGGAAGAAATGGATAAATTCCTGGACACTTGCCTCCTGCCAAGCCTAAACCAGGA